TCCTATGGACAGAAAGAACCAACCACTGCCTCCTAGTGATATTAGTGTAACTTAAATGTAACGTTCTAAATGACAATGTGTTTTCTAATTATTTGTTTATATGAAGGACTCCCCAGTCAGAATGTAGGCTGCTTGAGAATGGAGTGTGTGCTCTATGTCCATGTCATCAGGGATTAGATCCTGTATAGAGAAGAAGCCCTGTGTATCATGAATGAATGAATGAATGAATGAATGAATGAATGAGAGACAGAAAGAAGTATCCTAGCCCTACTTGATATTGGAATATAACTGGATCAGGGGCTACATATCCCAAAGATAAGTAATTAACCTATTGTGTAAAACTCAAAGTTTCCTTGTATCTCTCAACAACTTACTGTTTTGGGGGACAGTGCCATAATAACACAACAGTTACCATTTTTTAGCCCCAGTTAAGAGCTAGGTATCTGCCTAGGACTTCACATCTATAGCAAATATCTTTGTATTTGTCTGTGAGATGACTCCCTTCTTCTGTTAGTGCACCACCTCCTACTTCCCCACACCCTTACCCACTGCACACACACAAATACACCTCTTCTTCTCAAGACTTGCTCTTCACTCTACTCCAGTCCTGTTCTTCTAACTGGAACTGCCAATTATACAACCCAGCCCAATGGGGATCTGTGGCCACCTCCGGGTCCACTGGTATTCTTCTTTGTGATTTTTAAGATTGAAACTAAGGGAAAAAACAAGTGTGTTGCTCTCAAGTGACTCATGAACCAAGCAGGTTACAAAGAATAATTTTAGACAGAATGTGAAGAGTGAAGAAACAGAGTCATTGCTCCAGATTCTGGTTCCAGCTATTACTTAAGTCAGAGCATTCTCCTTCTGTCACTTAACCTGCAGTCTGCTTATGGAAAGTTGAGATTCTATCACTTGCAAAAAAATCATCTATCTTGCAACTAAAGCAGTGCCCATTATTTTATTTAATCCTCCCAACAACTAACTGTGTGCAGCAGGTATTGCTTTATTTTAGAGATAAGGAATCTGAAGCTCAGAACAGAGGAAGAAACATGCCCAAGGCGTGCAATTAGTAGCAGAGCTGTGATTCAAAGATGGGTCATCCAGATGCCAAAATGCAACCATTCTACTTTTCTGCTTCTTTCTGTACTATTCTTTGGGCTTCCTGAGCACTGATTTGAGCCCAGTGACCCCAGACAATATGCAGTAAGTCTATGTCTTCTCTTCATTAATAAACATAGATGCTATTGATCTTGATTAACTACTGGGGGTGTTATGGGGCTTCAACTAAATAACCCTGATAAAGTGCTTTAAGCATATAAATGATCAGATATTGGTTTTTATACCACACTATTAAACATTCACCTCTTGCAATGTTAATAATTGGGAAGCAGAAAAATAGTGCTTTTTAAAAAGCAATCTTAAAAAAACTGCATAAATACTTGGTATCACTAATTTAATTGAATATTAGTATGTTTGCTTTGGACATCAAAATATAACCAGTATTTCAGAAGTGGATTTCGTCAAAGACTGTAAGTTAAATAAAAAAACAAAGCGTTTGTAGAAAATTGAATCTTTCTACTCTTGTATATGTCTTTTTTCTCAATCAGTTAGATCTTTAAGTGGAACTTCTTTGATCTCTGCACTTGCTTATAGATTTAGTACAACCATGATCTTCCAGATCAATTATTAACACAAATATGAGAAGAACCATGAACTTAGAGAAAAGCAGACACACTGAAACCAAAGGAAGATGGATTTGTATGTGAAACTAATTTTCCCCAGAAGAAAAACAGATATTTCCCTCAACATCAGGGTGCACTCAGATTTGTTTTCCATATTAGCAACTTATTTACTATGGCAATGGGCAAAAGGCAATCCATTAAAAAGCAATTTTCCTCTTACCAAAGGGTGTTTCATCATTTGATGTCTAGCACTCAATCAGAATGTAGGAATCCTTTAATATTTTATGAGCTGAAAACATCTCATTTGGGCATGTAGACTTCAGAAATGTGGAATCCTCCATAAGCCTTGCAAAATGTCCAGAAAGACCTTTGTAGGGCAAGCAATAAATAGGCTAACCTAAAACCTCAAACTATCAGAACATTGGCAAAATTCTACTTTAGAATAGACAATGGGCATTTAAAATAAATATGCAATCATTTATAACTAAGAATAGAAGATATCAGTCCCAAAAATTTCTCAAGCGCAAGCTTCTGGAGGACAGGGATCATAAGTGGCTCACCTTTGTATCTGCAGTGTTCAATCACAGTCCTTGGCACATTGTAAGTAATCAATAGATTTTGATTAAACAGATGAATAAATGCATCTGTCATCTTGGATGAAGGGAGCTTGCCATTGGTATACCAGGCCCTAGGTAACCTAGTCCAACTTCGCTGCAGAGATGGGCCAGACCAGGTACTAAATGAGTCATTGCAGAAGGCTGGAACCTTCTCTGCAGCAGAAGGTGAGATATGGAATAATGTACAGTGCAACAGCAGCACCTGGAACACCCCCAGGGATCCTCAAGGTATTTACCTTCATCCCCACTCTTTATCTCAGTCCCTAGGAATAGAGTTCTGTCCTAGTTCCTGGCTTGATGTCAGGTCCTCAGAAGTCTTGCAGAGCTGCTCTGCACCAGCCAGAGGTCAGTCCCTAGTCTGTGTCTCTACCCCTGGCTCCACCCCCACCGCAAAGCACAGAGCTGACACTCACATGAGCAGAACCGTCTGCTCAGACTCCTGCCACCATGGTCCCCCGCTGCTGCCCACCAAATAGAGTCACACTGACATGGATGAAAGTCCAAATCAGATCCATATTTGCCCACACACAGTCTAGAACTTGGCCATCTTTTCCAAGTTGGTCTCCCTAGGCTGAATACGCTCTATTCCCCGTGTACCTCTCTGTGCCCAGGCCAAAATGAACACAACTACTCAAATCATCACCCCAAATACTACCAATCTACTTCTGGGGAAAATGTGGAGGTGTAAGAGCATGGTGAAGTTTGTGAGGACATTACCCAAGGCCATGAGAATCCTAAGGGGCAGAGACAGAACCCATCTCCCCTTCACTCCCAGCATCCTCCCTCCCTCTGCTCCTCTGTATCTCTGTTCTGTGTCAACTTTTAGCACGATAGATATGGGTCAGTTGTCAAAGGAGAAGAGCAGAGGCTGGATATAGTAGTGAAACACAGAAGAATACGCTCTATACACTTTCTACTGCCATGAAGGTGAGAACTGGCCAAAGCAGGCCATAGGGAAAGGGGCAATGTGGGGTGATAACCTAGACAAAGCAAGCACCAAGACAGAGCATGACTGTTGTCCAGTTTCTGAAAATCTTAGCGGGTCTTGCAATGCTTCTTAGCAAGTGACTTCCTGCAGCGCCCCCCATAAAATTGAGATAAACATGAAACAGTCACCGCTGTCAGGATGAGGAATTCAGTAGGATCTGCTTGACTCAGGACTTTAATCCTTCAACTGAATAAACAGTAAGCTAGGCAGCAGACGTAAATCTCAACAAGTTAGTCTGATGGAGAGTAGGAAGGATAACTTGGGTCAAGGATCCAGGTAAATAGGGGTGCCTGGGTGGCTCAGTTGGTTAAGCATCCGACTCTTGGTTTCGGCTCAGGTCGTGATCTTGCGGTTCTTGAGCGCTAGTCCTACATCAGGCTCTGTGCTGACAGCACAAACCTGCTTGGGACTGTCTCTCCCTTTCTCTCTGCCCCTCCCCCCTCTGAAAATAAGTAAATAAACTTTAAAACAAAAAAAGGATCCAGGTAAACTGAAATGTTAACCTTGGTGAACAGTGAACCTGAGCAGAGTGACACAGAAATCTCTCGGTCAGGCTACTACTCTTCTAACGTACAGATGACCTAGTTTGGGCTCATAAGTAAAGAACTTTCATGGAAGTTTCATGTCAATTTCAGCCTCTTTCCCCCATCCACCCACACTGGAGGATGATAATATTTGCTGTGCTTGGTCGAACAGACTTAAATTCCTCGTTTTTCCTCCCTAAGCTCTTAATTTTCTAGTTTACCTGAATAGTACCTATAGTCGGTTTTTACAATGTAAATAAAGCATAACCTCCTTTCCAATTTAATCATTGGATTCCTTTCCATTAATCATCTCAGACCATTATTTTAAACTCTCAAGCAGGTAACTGAATATTTATGCTTTCACAACAAATACCAAACATCCAACATTCCTCTGGTATAAACAGTCTTCTCTGGCGCCCATGTTATTAAGCCTACAAGGGAAGATTTATATGTGTGTCAGCTCTAGAGATATTGGAGGGAATGGAACTCAGCCACTTTAAGGAGGCTAAATGTTGACAATGACTGCAAGCCAGGTTAAATCAGACTCATCTTAACAGGTTAAACCCAAATTACACCAGTGAGCAAAAGGCAGGAAAATTATCATACCTGCTTTTTCTGGGTGTCCTCTCCTAAATTTTGTAATGTAAATAAGAAAAAAAGCAATGAGCATATCTCTGACCACATTTGTCATGATCAGCTACCCATTTTCTTCTATAATTCCTTCTCTCTTAGAGAAAGTATTCTAAACAAGTGAGATATTGGGAGAAGAGGATTTTATTAAAGTGTTCAATTTTTCTTTACAGAGAAAAATTGTTTCAAAAGAAAGCAAAGAAAATAATCTACTGGTAGGTTAAAAACCAGAATTTTAAAAAAAGAAATCCATAGATCTTTTTCCTTAACAGATTACTAAATGCAGGACTATTTTAATATATACTCATTCAATAACATTTGAAATTCAGCCATCATACCTGCAAATTTTTCCACCTGTAGATAACAATAATGTGTATTTCCAAGACAGACATGCAGAAATACATGCACTGGAAGCCTGAGCCAAAGAATGCTGGGTCCACAGGGATGCCCATGCACCGCTAGCAGCACCTTGGGAATTCTTTGCGTAGGTCCAGGCACAACCCTGGAAGTGGGGTCCCTGCCAAGCATCATGCCCATGTGGGAAACAAGTGTTACTTACGCAGCTCGCCCACTTTCAAGATCTCACACAGCATCTTGGTCAGCTCTATGCTGCTGCGGCCAAAGGGACATTCATGCTTATCCTCCCGGCTACTGTTCTCAAGCACAATCTGCAAGTGGAAAGGGAACAGGTAAGTAAGGGAAGCCAGTTTGCAGAAAATGTTGAAATGTTGGTTCTAAGATGGGGCGCCTGGGTGGCTCAGTTGGGTAAGCACCCAACTTCAGTTCAGGTTCGCGAGTTTGAGCCCCGCGTTGGGCTCTATGCTGAGGCTCAGAGCCTGGAGCCTGCTTCAGATTCTGTGTCTCCCTCTGTCTCTGCCCTTCCCCTGTTTGCACTCTTGGTCTATCTCTCTCTCAAAAATAAAAAATAAACATTAAAAAAAAAACTGAAAAATAATGTTGGCTCTGTGGTAACAGAAACAGATCTACCCCAGATTGCCAAACAAAGGGTTGGGGCCAAAACACAATTGTACGCTAAGCATATACTCAGTATATAGCGCCTAAAACTCACATGGTTTACAAATCTCCTAAAACTTTCCACCCTGTCAGAGCAGATTTTGCTTGCTGGTTTCCACTTACACAGAAGTGCTTATGGATGGAGAGGTTTTCAAAACAGGACAAGAAAGACCTTTTACTGAAGTGATAAGACCACGCTCTCTCCCCTCAGTCTTTCCTTTCCTGGTGAATAGCAGCTCTTCTGGGCCTTCAACTCCTACATTTTATTATTTTTTTAAAAATGTTTAAGTTTATTTATTTATTTTGAGAGAGAGAGAGAGAGAGAGAGAGAGAGAGAGATAGAGAGAAACCAGTGGGAGGGGGGCAGAGAGAGGGGAACAAAGGATCCAAAGTGGGCTCTGTGTTGATAGC